CTGGTAGAAGGTCAACCCCTGAAAAATCTGACGAGCTTAATGTTAACTCTAAGAGGATGTCTACGACAAAGTTGAACAAGAATGGAGAGAGTGGACAGCCCTGTCGGACACCACTTGAAGTAGAGAATTCAGATGACAGTTCGCCATATGCTCTCACCCGACCAGTGGTGTTCGAGTAGAGTGCTTCTATAAGGTTAATGTACTTCTTTGGTACACCTTTCAATGACAGACACTGCCACAGAACCTCACGATCCACTGAGTCGAATGCCGCCTTAAGGTCCAGGAACACGACTATTGTCGGACGTCTAAACGTGTGTCTGTGTTCCAGGACCTGTCGTAGTGTGAAAATGTGGTCTATACAACCACGTCCAGGTCGAAAACCAGACTGGTTTTCTCGAGTCTGCTCTTCACGAGCTTTCGTTAAGCGTTGGAGTATTATTGAGGCCAATATTTTAGATACTCTATTAGTTAGACTTATTCCCCTGTGATTGTCACAAGAAGACTTTTGTCCTTTCTTATAGATTGGGACAATCAGTGATTGAGACCAGTCGGATGGGATTACGTCCAGTTCCCAGATTCTACCTAAGATCTCAGTCAACCTAGCTGCTAAACTGGACCACCATCCTTAAATATCTGAGGGGTCAGTCTATCAGGACCTGCAGCTCGTCCTCGTTTCAGATTTCCTAACGCTTTTTCAACTTCATTAAGACTAGGGGGACTTACGTCGATTTGCCATTCAGGATGACTGGAGATCGTGAGTAACTGAAGAGTGGCTGAAGGCCAGCTGAACTGATCCCTAAAGTGTTCTGCCCATCGGTCCAGCCTCCTAGATTGAGAATGGATAATAAGACCATGCATTCCGAGATAGTCTCGCTTACATTCGGGTTCCTAATACCGGTTTCTTTGATAAGGCGGAAAAGTTGTCTAGTGTTGCCTATCGCCGCTGCCTTTTCCATCGCTTTTGCTTTCGCCACCCACCACTGTTCGTGGTCGTTACGTAGACTTTTTATGAGTCTGCGCCTAAGCTGACTAGGCTCTTCATCATGTTCAGAGTCAGGTGGGATGCGTTTTCGAGCATCCATCAGTTCGGTGGATGCGACTGAAATCCACGGCTTCATCCTAGCCTCATGGTTTACCTTCCTAGCAGATATCACTGCTGTTTCCACAGCCTTCTTGATATGATTCCAACCTGCTTCAGGATGGGAATCACTTGCATGGCCGTCTAACTGTTTTTCTAGTTCCTCCTGAAATATATCTGTAGCTTCATTGTGATTAAGTAAAACCCTAAGAGGCTTTCCAACGGTGTCTTTCCTACGTCCAGCAAGCCTCAAACAAATACGTGTTCGCACTAGAGCATGATCTGAATCTAAACATGTGCTCCAGAACGAGCGACAGTCCTCTATCGAACCCCTCCATCGGTGGCTAATGGCGATATGATCTAGTTGTGTCCAACGTTGAGACGACTTCGGGGGTCGCCAGGTCAAAATGTGTTTTTCCTTATGCTTAAAATTAGTGTTTGCTAGAAATAGACGGTTATCTAAGCACAGTTGCAACAGACGGTCGCCATTGTCTGTTCTCTGAGCCGCGAGACCGTAACATCCACCTAGGTGTCTTTCATTTTCACTTAGTCTACCTACTTGAGCATTGAAGTCACCAGCCATTATAACTATATCAGAGCGCTTAACGTTTTGGAGGAGGTCCGAAAGCTTTCTGTAAAACTCATCTTTTACATCATCTGGGCTGCAGTCAGTGGGGGCGTAGGCTGATATGACGAAGAGGCAACGGCGAGTGTCCCTATCCTTCCGAGTCCTTACTGTCCCGTTCAGTCGGACGGCGCACAAGCGACTATCTACAGGGATCCAGTCAAGGAGAGACTGTTCTGCCCTACGACTCAATGCGATACCTACACCGGCGAGGCCCCTAGAAGCAGCATCAGGGCTACCGGATACACGAAGGGTAAATCGAGCTGCTTCTTTATCTTGACATGGTGAGGTCAAATGAGTGATGCTACTCGGATCCTGTATGCGCGTTTCCGAGACGCAGCACACATCGATGGAACGAGATTCTAAAGTCCTAGCTAATGACGCCTGTTGCCCTATTTGACACAATGTCCGTACATTGAATGCTCCAACAAGTAGTTTGGAACGGGGTTTAAGGAGACCAGGAACGACGTTTCGCGAACTCGCATCGTTTGCATTAGCTGTGCACTGTTATAAATGAATGTGAGAGGTTTCCACATCTGCCAAAGCTTCTCCTTCGAGTGTTATTTGGTTGGTTCATGTTGTGTTGAATCTAATGGTCTTGCTTTTTTCGTTGTCTATGTTGAGACCTACTGCTGGGGAGGTTGCTGCTATACTGACTGCCTTCTACATTTGTCCTTGTGTATGGGATAGAAGCGCTACGTCATCTGCAAAGTTCAGATCGTTCAGTTGATCCAAGCTGTCTACTGTTTCTATGCTTCCCCCGAGATGTTGACGTTTTCATAATCGAGTTAACCACCATAAAGTATAGGAAGGACGGGAGTAAGCAACCTTGTCTAAGACGGGTTTTCACTTGGAATGAGTCTATGTGCAGCCCTCCATGCACGGCTTTTTTGGTGTAATCCATCGTAAGAATTCCGTATAATGTTGGCTTTTTTCTCAGGTACATCGTATTGTTTAAGAAACGTCCATTGTTATTCTCTCCATGCTGTTGAATTCGTTTTCGTAGTCGAGGAACTTAATGTAGAATGATTAGTTCCATTCAATCGGTTGTTCAACAATGATCTTAAGTGTCGAGATTTGGTCAGTACATGGTCGGTCCTTACGGAATCCAGCCTACTGAATCTACCATTCAGTCCGACAACACTGTGTTGGGGACTTTTACAGATATTGATAGTAGATTGATGCCTCTGTAGTTCTCACACTAACTGAGATATCTTTTCTTTGGTGTCTTGGTGATACTTTTTCTTCCACCTAAATCTGCGCCGGAGTATCAACAGAGATTATGCTTCTTGTAGCTCAAAACCTCACGACATGTTGAAGTTATTGCTTCGTTGATCCCTTTCCAGTTGATCTGCGTGGTAGTTTCCTCGTAGTTGAGTAGATGATGAAGGGCTTGTAACTTATTGTCGAGGGCTATTTTGAATTCACTGAGTAAGCCAGTATCTCAACGAAAGGCTTTATTGAGTTTCGTGACACTCATCGCCCGGTTTTACACTTTTCTTGTTTTCAATCTCTTCACAAGTTAGGTGGTAATTCCAAAGTGACCACTCCAGAAAAGTGAAAGAACAATTAGCATATGCCTGTGGACCATTTGTTTGTCAAGGTTGCATCTAAGAACATATTTTAGGCACAACTAGAAAAACTGTCCGCCATGTAAGTGATTCTCATCCTGAGGCACTTGAACCGATATACAAAAGCCGCAGAAACAGTATTGATGTCTGCTAGTAATGTAAACTATAGTGTTCGAGGGTTGTTATCTGTAAGGCGACGTTTGATTCTGTCGATCCTGAGGTTCTGTGGCACAGTCTATCCTTGAAAGGTTTTCTAAAGAAGTACATAAACCTTGTTTAGGCTTTCTGCTCGAACACTACTGGCCAATTTAGATCTTATGGCGAATTGTCATCAGAATCGATCTCTTTAACAAGTATTTTTCAGTGCTTTCCACTTTCTCCATTTTCGCTTAATTTTGTTATTCACGTGCATTTAAAAAGGACACCTATCGTCTTACTTTTCAGGATTTGAACTTTTATCAGGAGATTCGTTTGTTGAAATATGCCAATGTAATAGTTCTACTTGGTGAAGACGCTAACAAAATGTACTACTACACTAACAAAGTGTACTGCACAGCAGTTCGCGCGTCTATCCTGGGATAACCGAGTAAGCAATGCTGTCGTTAGGAAACGAGTATTAGGTAGGAATGGAAAATCAATAGATGAAGTAGTAAATCTTCATCGGTTGAGACGGTTGAAACATGTCTTACGTATGCCTACCCGCCGACTGCCTCAATGAACGATGTCTGGTGTAAGCTTAGGCTGGAAGCAAGCTGGGCGCGGCTTAATCGAAACGTGGAGGAAATCCATGAAGCCATTGGCAACTGGACTGAGTCATGCTGGTAGGTGTAAACTACCAGGTCGGGGTCCGCGAGACATTAGTAACCGATAGTCAGAGACTTTGAGTGACACTGAATGCACCTACGCCAATCCAAACGATTAGGAGCATTTTATGTGTCCTCACAATTCCTAATCTTCTAAATTCATCATCGACCTTTCTCTTTTTAAGTTTGTTTCACTGGAGTATACTTCTTGAATAATATCTTCAAACTCTAGTCTTTTCGATAGCTACTTATAATTGTACTACTATGGGATTCGAATTGACATTTGCGGTTTTTATGCTCTTGTGTTTGCAATTCAAACTGACCTACATCCGTACGAAGTTCTGCGTTGTAACTGACTGACTAACTTGTATACTGCGTTCTCAGGTACGAATTTCGAGCATAAATGTTCAAATGGAACTGCTTTGTATATTTTGAGATTAGCTTTTTATTTTTTTATAGTTTATTTTCAAATTTTATAGTCAACATTTTGATAGTGTACCACCGGTGTTAGACCATAATAAAATGGACTATAATCATAATAATTTCACCACGTAATCAATAGTGTAGACATTATTAATACAATAAAACCTCTCACTTTTTGTTTCCTAGTCATAGACATGAATACGTGGCGTTGCGAAACTTGTCTTTTGGAGAATTCGGACAAAACGGTTTTATGTGAGGGTTGTTCTCTTCCAAAATCTAATTCTCTGCATGTTAAAGAGATATGTTGTGCATCGTCGACCTTAGCACCCGTACATACAGCGGTCGCAGTATCAAGTCTGTCAACAGTCAACAAGGAGCTTTCCAAATGGGAGTGTCCTACATGCATGGTATATAATGAACATAAGGCAACACACTGCATATGCTGTCAAACTGCGAGACCTACAAGTATCGCGACAAGTGTTTCGAATTATCCTTCTTGTATGATACAAAATAACGAGAAATTGAGTGAATATAGTTCTTGCACTACAGTAAAACCTGTAGAAAAACCAGTGTTTATGAATAATCCAAGCCCTCATAAAATAGCTACTCAACCGATTGACAATTTTAAGTTTGGGTATAGTGCACAAAATCTTGAGAATTCGGAGAAGCTAAAAGCTTTTTCATCGATTATCGTTGATAATTCTGATCACGATCAGAAAGTTCATTCCACTAAAGATATACAGTTTTCTTTTGATACATTCGGTAAATTACCTATCCAAGGAAAACAATCAGAATCATCCGTTCGTGGCGAATCTCTTTTACAAACAAATCATGAACCTCAATTCAAATTATCATCTCAGTCCGAAGTTATTAACAGTTATAGTGACTTCAAAGGTTTTAAACCGAGTACAGTAACTAGTGTAGATTCGTCTTACGAACAGTCCCAGTTACTAGACAGCATCAATTTTAAATTCTCGTGCACCGCTTCAAACACTGCAGTTTCAGATAATCCTTTGTTCTCAAATGTTTTTGAGAGAAATAATGCATTGTTTTCCCCCTCAAATCCAAGCAATTCGACGGGTTTAAACACGATTACGAGTATTTCTTTGAATTTTCCCAACCAACAGGAAACTGGTGCGTTTAATTTCAATTCAGCTTTTCAAATGACCAAGGATGTAATGCTATCCACCACTTCACCTCAATTTTCAAACCATGAGTAAGTTCAAAATTTAACATATAGCTAAATCCATTAATATTCAGATGATCTCAAGCAATATTTTCTAATGAATATTACACTTCCGTTCATAATAATTTGTGCTTCTGAAATGCACCTGTAAAGGTAGTATTTCACTGCATATTGCTTCTTAGCACAGGAATTAATTACGCACTGGTAATAAGTTTCTAAATTCAGATTTCACTTAAGTGCTTTGTAATTCCGTGAGGTTCAAAAAGTTTCATGAAAGATATTTGAGTCAGATCGTATTTTACTATGTAGTGTGTCAAATAATTGAATTCAGCAACATTTTAACAAAGAATTCTGCAACACACTTGCTTCTCATCATCACGTGGTTGGAGTCGTCATAATTTTCGCATTCAGTGAATGAAAAGTTTCTGTAAAATATCTTGGGACCACTCACAAAATATAGGATGTGTCTAATTTTTGATGTCTTAAGATCCTGATGGTCAAAATTTTTCCTTTATACTTTTTACCCTACTGATTCCTTCCAAAACACGTAATCTATGGGTGTTATTTTCATCACTGAAACTGCTGCTACGCAGGTTCTCATCCTTATAATTTCATTTTATTTGGGTGACGGGCTGTGGCAGATTAAATTAATGCATAAGTTAACCTAACTATAGGATGAGAACATAAATACGTAGCTTTTGATACATTCGTAAATTTTCTTTACTTTTGAAAATAATTTTTTGTTTTGTTATTTAGCGCTCCTGTAAACAATGAAATTCGGAAAAAGGTACAGGCAGTCCGCCGCTTACGTCGATGAGATCATCAACTATCCATTGAATCTCTACTAAGATGATTTAATAAGCAAAATATCCTGTCAGTTGTTTGTAAATATCAACTCATTAAATCTTACCTTCTGTAATGACATTTGTTCCACTAAAGACTTCACTAACAAATCTACTCCAGACCTGATATCTGTTAATCCCGTTGACTACGAATGCTGAACTTTCATCATGTAGCTGAATAAATTATTTTCCTATTTCTTCCTGAAGAGTCCAGCGACTAAAGTTCGCATGACTTCTGTAATATTCTCCGAAGTAAATTTAAAACTGTTACTGTTCTTCCTAATTTTGTTCTTATAATCGACTGTCTTTCTCACGCTGTTGATAAAGATGCGAAATGCTTGGTGCTTCCGTTCAGTTGATCAAATCATATCTAAGTAATACGGTAGATAGACGGTCTGATTCTGTTTGTAATTACACAAAACCAAGGGAAGTTGTGTTGGAAATAAAATAAATAATGCATCAATAAATAGCTTTACATTTAATGATTCAAGTATGATTATTGATGATAAGTGATTGCATGAAGTTAATTGATTCATGTAAACAAGTGTTGTTCTCGAAACTATGGATTTCATTGTCCAGATAAGTCACATTATTTTGCCAAGTATACGTGTATTGGTGGATCTGTATGCTTTTGTGACAAAGGTTGCCAGGCTTATGATCACGCATTTTAGCCGAAATAGTAGTACTTCACTTCCTAACATCTGGAAACGTGAGTGAGTAGATCTGTTTTATCGCTTTTAATCAATAGCGGTCATACTAAATGCTAAACCAAAACATTATTCAATATGCTCAAACTTTTCTATCGGCGTATTATCCGGTCTTACTCATATATCAGAAGGCAAAAGAAGTCGAACTAACAACCCTAGCCTTGGTATTAAACAGACATCTTTAAAATGTTAAACATCTCTAGATTCTATATCAGAATATCACGTACAAGCAAGCAACACTGTTTCCAAATAGATTACTACCAGATTTCACTCTAATATAAGTCAACATTTATATTGATGTGCGAAAATGTTGAACCACCTAAGGCAATAATTAATTCATTGGTCACAACGGAATATATTGCAAAACTAAATATAGTAGGATGCAAAGTGCGAAATGACTGTTGGGAACGTTATATCCATAGCACTCACTTGGTAAAGGGTCCTAGTTTTGTAATTTCATTTCGAAATCTTGAATTTAAATGTTTTTGCAACAAAGACGCTCAATTGGACGTTCGGCGTGTGTTTCCATTCGGGGAACCTCGACTGTCATTTTTCGATAGATTATTTTAGAACGCCATTTTGTGGCTATAGGAAATCTGGAACGAGGGAGAGCAGTGGGTACTGTTAGTCTAAGTCCTGAGGTTTTTAATGATAGTGGTCCAATTTTAGCAGTTAGATTGACTGAGATCTCTACTCGAACACTACAGGTCGAGGTAGAGCTTATGGCAAACTGTCATCGGAAATGGTTAATTCAAGTGGTGTCCGTCAGGGTTGTCCACCTCAATTACTGTTTAACTCTGTCATAGAAATGCCTTTATAGTTAACATTATCTTCGTCTGATCTTTCAGTAGTGGACCTTCTACCGGGAGACACACTTGTTGAGTATGCAGATGACATAGTCCTGTTCGGTGTAGACGCTGACAAAATGCAGAGTATTCTGACCATCCTAAGCAGCAATGAAAAGATGTTCGGGATGAGATTCTCTCTGTCAATATGCGAAATATCTTATCATCATTTGCTTACATCGGCAGCTGAAATTATGATAGATAATGAAGCAGTTGAGCGTTTTGACCGCTTCACTTATCTCGATTGTCTCGTCAGTGCTGATGACCTGGTGTGTAATAATATCTCAGCGCAGATAGGGAAGGCTGGATTGGCACTTGCCAACTTGCGTCACTTGCTTAGGCAACTGTCAATAAATACCCCCTATATTTTTTAAACGATGGTTTCGGCAGTTCTCCAAGTTTCCACTCCATACAATAAAACCGATGTGATATTTGCATTAAAAATTGCTACTTTAGTGTTAGTTGACACTTGTTTTGGTTCCTATATGTTCTTCAGTTGTAGGAATGTCGCTCTCCCTTGACCGATTTCTGTTTTCACACCTGCGTCAGATCCTTGTTTATCAATGGTGCTGCACAGATACATGACGGTTTCCACATCTGCCAAAGCTTCTCCTTCGAGTGTTATTTGGTTGGTTCATGTTGTGTTGAATCTAATGGTCTTGCTTTTTTCGTTGTCTATGTTGAGACCTACTGCTGGGGAGGTTGCTGCTATACTGACTGCCTTCTACATTTGTCCTTGTGTATGGGATAGAAGCGCTACGTCATCTGCAAAGTTCAGATCGTTCAGTTGATCCAAGCTGTCTACTGTCTACCTGATCACAGCTGATAGTAAATTGGAAACATTGCTCATTTCAAAAATTATTACTCACTTCTTATATTCAGACAAAGAAATAATGTGAGAACATATTAAAGAGGGTAGTTGATGGACAGATATGCCTAATTACTCATATGAATAACTATCCGCATTGTCTGCTAAGTCGGTGAAATGTATTTGTGAACAGTGACTGAAAATGTATTCATTATCGGGTCTGTTGAAATTTGAGGATAATCTATACATTCACGAAATAGTACTCAATGGTACAAACATGTGTAGCTAAACATTTTCCAACACATTCGACAGATCTCAGTTGTCTGTCATGATGTTTCAAGTAAGTTTACTTGTATCAGACCACCTTTCGCATGAAGTAGACTAATAGAGTGAAATTAGCCTTTGTAATAACAAACAATTTTGCGAATATTTGTAATGAATGAAGATCAGCAATGTGAACTTTTCGAGTGTCGTATAAGTTTCTTTCCTTATTCTATGTGATACTGTACAACTGTCCTTTGACTGCTTATTTTTAGGCACTTTTAAATGAATTTTTGCTGCGTTAGTTTCTTTGTGAATTTGATCACTTCAATGGCTCGTGATTCAGTTCGAATAGTCAAATATGCTATGCAATAGTTTTTTACATCTCCGTACATCATATCAATGCGTACCCATATTTTACGACGACGGTTATTAGAGCCGGTTTACGGATTCATTTGGATGCGTCTTCTTCAGGCATTCGTGTTTGCAGACAAACGTAAGAATACAAAGCGTTAAAACAAAGCGAAGTGAAGCGGAGAAGGCGGACGAGCTAACTCATTGGAATGAGGTGTGATTAAGCATTGACTATTATACAAAAAGAAGCTAGGTAAGAAGCAGATTCACGCACGCCAATCTAAAAGCATCCAAGATAAGAGCGATTACTTGAGAATGTCGGAAGACATGTTAATAGTTCGAGAATGAGTTGATTGAAATGTCTAAAGGCTGAAACATAACAAAATACAAACTACAAATTTTTCAGATTCGAATATGAAGTGCAATAGTGGTAAGAGTTACGTGGTTGTGCTGTGACGACTGACCGGAAGTCGAGAATCAATTCAAGTGAAATCAGCATGTAACAAGAATTTGTGATGCAAAATGCTTATTGACATTCTTGATGGCATTTTCCAGGTAATAATTTATTAGGAATCTGGGCGAAACCGCTATAAGTCACCGAAAAATATGAGTAATATTAGTGCTGTAAAGGAGAAAAAGGCGAAGGGGGGAACATAAAATATATGCAATGAAGTTCTCGATTCAACAGATTCTTTTTCGCATTACGTCACTCAATGCACACTTGCATTCATGTAGTCATTATTAAAGTGACGAATGGCCAAGTGAATTTACGTATAGAGGAGTTTCAAAACAGCTAGACCGTTAGTGATTCTGCAGACCTGTATAATATAATAAGAAACGTACGCTAATTTAATACATTAGCGGTATATCATTGTTTTGTATTAATACCCTTGACCGTGATTTCAGGATTGAACTTTTCAACGTTATAGATTATGTCGGCTAGTAATAGAATATATTAGTAGGAAGTGGAACCAGTTCAAGTGTACGGACATCAATCAAAGACCTAATTGACCTGAAAAAGCAAGGTCAATGTGATTGATTGGTTAAATCCTGCTAACTCGTAAGGAGCTGTTAGCGAACAAATGTCCTACTCCTCAGACATGGATAGGTCGTGGTTATTGCTCAACTGTAAGGAGTGGTGGTCGACACACCACCCTCGATTTCGTGACATTAGTCTCACTCGATTGTGGTATGTTTTTTTGACAGTTTTGTCACCTTTTTGAAATACACTATCTCTACTGGTCCCATGGTATAATCAAACCAGGGACACTTAAACTCTATCATGTAGCATATCGCACTGATATTGAGTAAAATTATGGTATGAATTTTAGGAGGCGGGTCAGTTAATATGTCGTTTGGAAATTAAAGGATAGTAAGAGGTTAAGGAATATGAAGGAAAATAGTATCGGAACATTATGAGTAAGATGATAAGTAAGTAGGGAGGTAAAACTTTTGATTGTTAACGACTTGGGAACAAAAAATATTCTCAAAAATGTTATTACACGAGGAGTGAACAGAGCAAGAGGTCTTATGCACGTGGTCAGGTTCATCTTAGTTTCCTGTCAGCAAGTTCATCTTTATGAATCCATTAACCGAGTAGACATATCATTAAGAAGACGGCATGTTATCACTGTGTTTCACAAATATTACTGTTGCGGCTTTAATCGTCGCAACAATTTAAACTATCGTTGATTGAACTCTTATTTTGTCATTGAATCAAGCAAAACAAGTGGTTCCTCTTTACTTATATGTACAACATATACTTTGCCACTCATCTTTATTCCTTTCCACAAACAAACTCGTCTATGATCTCCATGTATTTCCTGTCTTTTCTTATATTCCTTATTGGATTTTGGACGTTGAGCGGTCTTTCAAATGACTGTGCAATATAATCAACTTGTTCTCACTGGTGGTCCGGGTGTATTTTTCAGACTGCTATTAAAGTATAATTCATGGTGTCTATACATTTTCTAGATGGAGAGGATGTATTTTCAAATTGATCTACATCGATGTTATTGTTTTCATGGCTCTATATGCATTTATCAGTTGTGTTTATCGTTTCGTTCTGTCAGTAGAGTTACAGAGGTTTGATTTCCCTTTTCAGAATCTAAATACTTTCAGAACTTTTGAAGACGTCATCATGTTTACTCGGAGCTTCCAAGGTCTGATCCCGGTTTCTTTCATACTTGGGTTCTATATCGATAATGTGTTCACTAGGTTTTGGAGATTATTCATGACCATTCCATGGGTGCTTAAATTTGCCATTTCAATTGCTGGGCATCTCTCTGGAAACTCTGAACGTTCTCGTTTAATGCGACGCACATGCTTTCGGTACATGATGTCAAGTCTAATAATGACTTCTACACGTCTCAACCTAATTGCTAAGAAGCGCTTTCCTACACCAGAATTCTTCGTTGCTGCCGGTACAGTTATTATGTTTTGCGTTAGAATTTGGCCACTCAAACAGTAGCATTGAAGTATTGATACACTTGATCATCATTGTGGATTATTAGTTGGTAGATATTTGTGCGTGATTCTACGTTGCGTTTGACAGACGAACTGGTCGAAAATTGAGTTACTAGGCGAAGAAAACCTTATGAAGCAAACAATCTATTTTATTTCAAGGCTTAATATAAACTTCGAACGGCTTAAAATCTCAATGAACATTATATACATATAATATATATAATTAGGCTATTTTTATTTTTTGCCATATTACATTGGTGTATTACTCTATAGACATATAGACAGAATAATTGCAGGATTTCATTCGTAAGTACATCAGTTCAGGTTTCCATACCACGTCAGCACAAAGACGTAACTGTCAGTTCGAGTCCAAGAGTGATAGCGATAGTAGAATTATTAGTAGCAATCGAGAAGTTTATTGAGCGAAAATATGATTGGAGAAGTATAATTCAGTGAGATAAATTTAGAAGCAGAAAGATAGGGATTATGAAGAATTCAGAAGGTTAGAACTAGAGAGAACACAAAGAGTGGATGCACGTGCGCCACTGCAGACGATCCTCATCTATGTCGTTCAAGGTCTCTAACCATCGGTAAATTTCGTCTCGCCGACCCAAACCAGGTGATAGCCTACATCTACCAACATGACTCAGTCCACTTGTCAGTGACTTGATGGATTTGTGCCATGTTTTTGTTTGTCTACCGTAGCTTTCTCCTAACCTACTCCTACACCACAAGACATCGCTCGTCGAGGCAGTCGGTGGTTATGCATACGTAACATGTGTGATGAAGTTTCACCACTTCTTCTATTGATCTGCCATCCCTACCTAGTACTCGTTTCCTTCGGTTAGCAAGCGAATATCTCGCCTGCGCCATGGTTGACGCAAGTTGGCTACATTTGTATCTTTTAGAGTCGTAGAGATCTGTGAAGCACTTTTTAACACATATTTCGTCTCAGTTGTCCTTTTTCATTCAGGGCCTCTAACGATCGATGACTATCATCCCGCGGACCTAATCCAGGTTTCAATACTTCACCAACTGATCTACCATTTTACCTATTATTCGCTTCCCAACGGCAGCCTTGCTTACTCGGCTGTCCCATGACACACGAGCAATACTCATAAGATATCTATGATCGAAGACAAGATACCTACGAATATCTTCCAACCTAACTGGCCATGTTTCATAGCCGTATAGTAGGACAAAGCGAACTACTGTGCAGTAAACTCATCATTTGGTCTGCAAACGTTATGTCTCCCTCACTCTATAAATGACGTAAATTGACAAAAGCCAATCGAGCCTTCTGTATCCGAGCTGAGATTTTGTCAGTCACCAGGCCATCAGCACTGATGAGTCTCCCCAGATACGTGAAGTGGTCTACACGTTCGACTACTTCACTCCCTATCACTAGTTCATGTGCCGATGCAACTCAATCCTGAAGCATCACTTTGCATTTCGACGGAGAAAACCGCATCCCGAACACGCTTGCATTGTTGCTTATGGTAGTCAGAAGACTCTGCATTTTGTCAGCGTCTTCACCGAATAGAACTATGTCGTCTGCATATTCTAAGTCGATAAGCGAGCCTCCTGGTAGAGGGTCTACTCCTGAAAATCCAGACAAGGATAAGGTTATATCTAGGAGCATGTCTATGATAAAATTAAACAAGAATGGAGAGTGGACATCTCTGACGGACACCACTTGAAGTAAAGAATTCCTGTGACAGTTCGCCATAAGCTCGCACTTGACCAGTGGTGTTCGAGTAGAGAGTTTGCATAGGGTTAATGTACTTCTTTGGTACATCTTTCAATGACAGATACTGCCACAGAACCTCACGATACACTGAGTCGAATGCCGCTTTTAGGTCCAAGAACACGACAATTGTAGGACGTCTAAATGTGTGTCTGTGTTCAAGGACCCGTCGTAGTGTGAAAATGTGGTCTATACAACCACGTCCAGGTCGTAAACCAGACTGGTTTTCTCGAATCTGCTCTTCACGAGCACTAGTAAGGAGTCTAAGTATAATCGAGGCTAAAAATTCAGAAACTACATTAGTTAAACTTATTTCCCTGTGATTGTCACAAGAGGACTTTTGTCCTTTCTTATAAATTGGGACAATCGTGGATTGAAACCAGTCGGATGGTATAAGGTCCAGTTCCCAGATTCTACCTAAGATCTTAGTCAACCTAGCTGCTAAAACTGGACCAGTTGGGATGATTTTTCGAGCATCCGTCAGTACGGTGGATGCTCCTGAAATCCACGGCTTCTTCCTAGGCTTATGGTTAACAATGCATGCAGAGATAACTGCTGTCTTCACAGCTTTTTTGATATCATTTCAACCTGCCTCCGGATGGGAATCACTTACATGGTTGCCTAACTCTCTTTCTAGTTTTACCTGGAATAATTTTTTAGCTTTATTATCACTAAATGGAACTCTCAGAGGTTTCTTTGTGGTGTCTTTCCTATGTCCAACGGAGAGTGTCCCTATCCTTCTGAGTCCGTACTGTTGCGTTTAGTCGTAGAGCGCACAAGTTACTATCTACAGGGATCCAGGCTAGGGATGCTAGTACTGCCCTAGGACGCAACGCTATACCTACACCAGCGATATCCCGGAAAGTAGTATCAGTACTTGCATAAACACGAAGGGTAAATCGCGTTTCTTCTTCATCTTGAATTTATGTGGTCAACCGAAAGACTTTACTAGGATCCTGTATGTGCCTCTTGGAGACGCAGCATACATCGATGGCGCGACATTCTAATGTCCTAGCTAATGAAGCCTGTTGCCCTATTTTACACAATGTTCTTAAAATTGGAATAATTTAATATGTAGTTAAAATAGGGGTTTCAAGCGACCAGGAAGAACGTTTCGGGATCTCAAATCGTTTGCAGCAGAGGTGCGGGATGTTAAAGGAATTTGAGAAGGGTTAGTTGTGAAGATAGGGAGTATATTAGCGGCTGTAGGAAGGATTTGATTTTGATCGATTTGATCTCTTTTGTTGTTACTGACCTTACTGCCGGAGACTGAAATCCGTGAGGTAGGGTGAGGTAGGGTCAACATGTCCAATCCTTATGGTACCAACCATTTCCGAGACTGCAGCAATAAGGTTTGATAATCGCAATATAGGAAACCCATAGTTTCAAACCTTTCTTCTCATCGAGTGGTCAGTAAGTGGAGCGAATTGCTCGAAGAAGTGGGTTCAGCCAAATGAAGGAGCTGGTTTCTCCCCGAACATTCATTTGCTAGAATTAATGCAGGTCCATCAGCCTACTATCCTTACAACTGAGTTCTGAGAGTGATGCGTATATGAGATTATAAATATTTGGTCCACGAAATCAACGTAAAGGTCGACGATGAAAAAATGACTCATGATAGTGCTTCGACAAAGTCATGAAGAATAACTGTTCTTGGGTCAGATCGCGTAAAAAAAGTTTTTCTTGTGATTCATTTAGTATTCTAGTGTTTAGAGAAACTGGATAATACCGTAGTCTAAATTTCACCGTTCAGTTTCTGCAGTTTACAAATAGAACAGTGACAAAGCTTTTCTTCCGAATATATATCTGAAACCAAGTTTGCAAATTCAACCCAAAACTCCTTATACCGAGACTTAATTTTTGCGGCATATCTGATGTTACTTGGTGACTGAATCTCTGCAAGGTGAGAAACCTCAAAGCTGTTATCCCAACATAACTTAATCACATTCTGTAGTTGATTATTGTATCAGTAGGCAACGTTTCTCGAATAACTAGTGTGCTGCCCAATTTAATCAATGACATGAAAATGAATGAAAAACATTTGGAAATGCTAAACTCAAAAAGCTAGAAAAATTAGCCACCATGAAAGTTTGGTTGATACCGAGTCGAAATTGGCTATTATCACCACCAAATGCTAAGTACTAACTACTAGCCCATTACGGTAATGAAAAGTTAATCCACGGTAAATAATATATTTGAAGGAGAAGGTGGGCAACATAGCGAGCAGTAAGTTGTGAATGATGACAACACAAAAACAGGAAATTGCGCATAAATAGGTGTTTTTTAGTACTGTTAAAGAAAAGGAGTACAATTATAAATGTTTCCCTTTCACCAATTACGTTTTCTTCGTAGAAGTGTTCCGCTAAAAACGCAAGAAGCGTTTCATCAACCACCTTAACTTATGAAAATGATGTAATAAATATCGAAAAACACTGTTAATGATACAGCTATACTGGTAAATTGATAAGTCTTTGTACGCCGTTTTACAAAGTTCCACACTTTAATTACTGAATCGGTATTTCTCACTTCCTATCACTCCGGTTATATGTCAAACGCTACATCCGTCTCCTTCATTCCTGATTTTCATTAGAAGCCGTTTACCTATAAAATCGTCAAAAGTGAACTATTAATCAACTATCGGAAATTTGGTTATCTTTCTTTAAAAGATAAAAACGCAAGCTAGGAAAACCAACTTTTGTAGCTTGAAGTTTTCTATATCCCTTTTTATAGGCCTCTTGGATATGTAGTTGACCTTAACAGTTTTTCCGTTTCGCTTTTCACAGCGCTATTTCAGTTAACTTTGCTAATAACGCGTTCGGAAGTCTTTTCTAAATTTCTGTTAATAAGTTGTTTCATAGTCATTTAAACAGTAGATTGACTTTAAACACTTTTACTTAGTCTATATAGATGTCAAAAAATTGTTTTTAATATTCGTATATATCAAGGGTTCACAACTTAATCTTTAATAAAAAATATCCTAAATTCTAGTTTTGTTTATGAGATGAGTGCAGCTGAGTGACATTTTTACTTCCAAAAGCTTCCAACAAATGTGTATATGAAGTAGACTTTCGTGAAAACTACTTTTAAAGAGTAAGTTCCATGAAAAGTGTTCTGTTCATTTTTAATACATAGGTCTTGTTTAGAAGTACAATAAACCCACAACTTAGCGACAATCTAGAAGAAATAAATCACTAATGACAGTACAGTACA